AAGGACAAGCTGAGGTGAGGTTATGCTAGCATGATAGTGATTCGGGCGCGGGGAAGTCGTTGTTGTTGATGAGGCTGCAATTCGGGCACGGGAAGACGAGCATGTGGATATGACAGATCTTAAGCAGTCGTTGGGTCGAAGGATTCTGAAGGAGCGTGTATAGGTCTAGATCTTGGGATCGTCGGCATCGCTGTTGGAATCTGCATTTACTATTACATTGTTGTGCTTGGAAGTACTAGATCTAGGCCCGACGAAGGATCGTGGGAGTAGAATTTGAAAATTGGGAAATCAATGGCATTGTGATGTATTGTTTTGATCGGATAGGGTGCAGTCGAAGGTATTATGTCGTGCAACCTAAAAAGGACTTCTGCTATTCTAGAAGGCCTTATTATGTAGACAGGGAATAACCCTGTCTGATAATTTCGTCGCGCGCGGTTGAGATACACAAATATCGCTTCTTGAAACGGCTAAGCCCCGGCCGAATGAGCTGGATCTGACCCGATTGATATTAAGTTAAAGCTGGTAATTGGAATTGGAAATGTCAAGCGTGCATTGGACGGTCGGTAGGAATTGCTGTCTTTAGCCGTATAACAGCGCTAAATGACAGACGGGGCTGGTTGTACGGGCGTCGGAAGAAGATACAGAAATAAGCTACCAAGCGCTTATTATAACCCCAAAGGAGTCAGTAATATTTGGGGTCTGAAATATCCACAATAAAACAGTCTAATCAATTGAGGAAGGAGGGTTAGGAATAAGCGTGGATATGGTATGGCAAGTTCAGAGTTCGTACGACTCGGCGGACTAAAGGAACCATGAACCATGAACCATGTCGACCAGTTTCCCAACTCTAGAGATAGATGTAACTATCTGGATCTAATTAGTCTAGTCTAGTCCTTATCCCTAGACCAGACTGGGTTGTCGATGCATACAATCTTGTCGACGTTGATCTTCTCCCCCTCCGGCTGTTTCACTTCTGTTTTTAGAAACACCACGCGCTTGACAGGGATTAAACGTTCCCCATGTGCTCGGCCCTCCTATAGGGTTTAGGGCCGTAGTTGGATATACAACTCCGAATAGCATAAGAGGCTCAATGTTGGGATCGGCGGTTGTTTACAGCGTACAGCGTAAAATATAGATGTGGATTTTCGGTTTTTGTTTTTACTATATGTGGGATGTCTCGCTTCAGAGTTGGTTTATTCTCGGACTTTATTTTTACTTCGGTAATAAACCGCAAAACTGGAGGAATACGAAGGTCTGGGGATGGAATTTGCCACTCTGGAGACCGTCGCTGGCCCCAGGGTGATCCGAGCACGAATGACATCAAAGTAAATATTGTCGTTCGAAGTATAATATAACGTTATAGACGAAAGTTGGCTGTTCCATGATTCTATCTGAGTCAACCATGGACAGACAGTACTCGGACTAGATAGCCTTATTTTGATATTTCCAAAGTTGGCACCGATTTCCCGTATGGGGTATCTCTTTCCGACAATTTGGGAGGATCGCGTTAAGGCTAGGTTAACTAAGAGCCTCTTGATCGTCGTATTTTTAATCTGGATATGCAAGTCCATAGGAAGTCTCGGGGTCGCCGGATCGGCCTCCCTTCGGCATATAAATTATCTCAGTAACTACGCAGTCGGATCTATGGCCCGACGCCGAGGTGACAGCTGAGTGGAGAATTATTGATATCCTCAAACGATAGAAGAGCCTAGAATGTCAGATTCAAAGGCTTGAGTTACGTTTCAGCGTTTCAGTGAAATGGAAATATCCACCATGTTGGGGGCCAAAAGTGTGAGAGCGAGAGCGAGTTCAGGGCCCTCCAGCATGAAGGAGCGATAATCTCAATCAACGGGCACTTCTCGGTGCTGACTGGCTAATGCGCCTGAGGACGTTTTAGGTATATGTTTGACATGGGCGTTGAAATCAGTCTAACAGTTATAGTTACATACTATGCATATGATATATCTTTGATTAACAATCAAAGAATTATGGCCAATAGTAAGCGCCCTAACTATATATATATATATCATTGCCCGGGTATGTACATGTGTCAAACTGGTGCAAGGCAAATGCACGTATGGTATGTTGTATGCCGACCGCAGTTAACTAGGCTAAGCAAGGCAAAGAATCGGTCAAATCAACACAGGCCAGATATGACTTCATTACTCCAGTCTCGCATCAGAATTTAGACTGTGCATATGACTAAGGGTGGATAGGATAGCCCCATTAAAAAAGGGGATGTTACCACCGGGATCGCCGATAAATACAACATACGAACTCCCCGTCAGCGCTGTAATTTATCCAGCTGCGCCTCAATTCAGGGATGTGGATCGACTGCCCCATGTTGTTTGGCTACGGACGAATCGCATGAACGCCTTCGCTCGCTTATGATTGGGACTCACTCACGCGGGTCTGTTGTGGCTTGGGCATATGTGGCGCTAGTTGGCTTTAGTCCCTAACACGGACGCTCCGAGTGACAGCTCGCACTGTTATCCCTTGGGCTAGCTAGGGCTATGGTGTAATTAATGTAGATGATCTGGATCTAGATGATCTAAGATGTCATCGGAAATGCGGAGGGTAGGGCCGAGATTGGGTTCCTTCGTCTCCTATATCACCATGGTGTTGTTCGGTATATAATAAACCCAGAGATCTTGAAGGATTGAGGGATTGGATCGTACAGATTAACCTGCATCCGAATCTCGGACTGAAAATTGGGAAATGTCAGTTTATCACCGTGCATCCGAGAAAAAATTAATTGACGTTCTTTCCATTTTGGGTAGACCCACCATTGGGTTCTTCGGATATGCAACCTGGTGATCAGATCATCAAGGGGTGTACAACATACAGATCATCTATACATATAAAACCCATGCCGTCGACAGATTGACACTACAGTACTCAAGGAGGTAACACCTAGTTAGTTACTTCCTCCAGTCAAATGACGTAAAAGGCAACCAGGGGACCTTGGAAGCAGGCCACATCGCGATCACTAAAGAATGCGGCTCTTGAACGGCAGCCTCGGAAATCAGAGGATCTACATCTGTCTATCCTTTACTCCATACTTCGTATCTCGGCAGTCAGAGGCAGACTCCGTACCCGTTCCACTCTTTTGCACCAAATTCTGACCCAGAGAAAGAGCGGACGGAATTGTTTTCAGATAAACTAAGATAAGGAGACAATGCAATAGACTCAGATCTGATAACTTTCCTTTTTCTATGAGAAGGAAAGGGAATATAAGGAATGTTAGAAGAACACATAGTTATGTTGTACACATACTCGTACAAATACAATCGGTTCCCATGAATTCGGTCGATCCGTGACGGGACCCCATCTCCTCCATAACTTGGCAGGCCGACCGCGTGCCCGGAAGGGTGATTGGTCCATGTGTGCCAACCCAACGAACAGGAAAATGAGGGCTTGCTAAATACTCTCCAATCAGATCTCTGAAAGGCTCTCCGAGGGCTCGGTGGGCTTCCTTAGCGTCGGGTGAGTTCGTATCGGTCCCGCCCACTAGTCCTTCTCGGTAATCATGAAAGGCGATCCTTACACTGTACAGTGTGTTCAACTGTGTTGTCCACTGATCCATTGCATAGAAGCTAGTTCAAAAGTAGTTTAGGCCTATATACAATGCCGAAGAGAGGTTAAAAATTTATTTTTGGGGGAAAAGGGGCCATAGCGCCAAGCCTCGGGGAAGCTCTACTTTGCAGAACGGAGATGCCGACGACAGGGTAAACAATTAATCATATAGGTAACATTTGATTATATAGGTGGCTCCTAGAACCCGAGGTGGCTCCTTGTGCGACGGTCGACTTTCTGACAGGAGCTTCTCCTATCGTCAAAAGTATAATTTGAAGAGGACTACCCTACTCCGTCGCAGCTGTGCACAATGCGCCATCGATCGGTTTCCACGAACCCGATGGACGATCTCTTCGGTTAAAGTACTTTTGAAAAACTAATATTCCCGGAGATAATTATGGAGATAATTCCGGGATAAATACTCCGTATTCGGGGTTATATTCGGGGATCATATGTACCCCGTAGGGCAGAGTGAGGCAAGAGTGGATAAAGCCAGACGAGCTGTCAGAACCCAGAAGGTACTAACCATGCGGAGATAGTGGGTTATATTGACTGTTGACAGCATAGACATGCCTGACGAAGGCTGAGCTTATGGCGTCGATATATGGGTACCGTGCAGCTGTACGGAGTAGAAAATAGAGTGTACACAAGCAGTAGGTAAGGGCACATGACTAGTTAGTTAATTAACAGTGATTACTCATCTGGTTAAGCCTAATAACCCGAAGGAGGGGCCCTAAGTTTCCCTGTCCATGTTCACAGCCACGTTCAACCGGTTCGTGCCAGAGATACAGTATGTAATGGTATGTAATGGTTACTGGATTATTATTTATTTATTCGATATTTGCTTTTTACTATGTGAAGTGTTTTTTTATGATTTTCATTTCATTTTCATTTCATTTATTTCAATTCCATTTTCCTTTTCCTATTTTCACTTTTTAAATAAAATATAATTATAGACAAGACTATAACTAACTACTGTAGGGCGGGCCCATCGTCACCATTTAACAATCTCCTCAACATCTATAATACCCTCTTCTCCCCTCTGGTACGGATTTAAATCATTGACTCAATCCAGCGCATCCCTCGACCACTTCCGGATACGCTTGTTTAACCTTCTTCGCCTCCTTTGTCGATCTTGCCTCGCTACCGCGTCTGTGGAGTTACAACTTGCTGTGACCTCCCTGCCTTGCGATATCATAATCTACCTCCTTACCTCCGTGCATAAGAATCCGATTCTCTCTGTCAATTGCGCACGTTGCCTCTTCGTGGCTGGCGTGTTTGGTTAGCCGAGCGGGCCGCGATCTCACCCAGGAACCTTATCACCGGTATGTCCATGCGTCGCAACGAAAAATCTCGAGACAGCATGTACTGACCAGCTGGCTTTGTTAGGATCGCCCTCGCGCATTGCATTCACAATCAAGGAGATGACCACTTTTGAATCCAACCCTGATTTCACCCTCTTTCCCTTCCACGCCCGGTCCAAGATGATGGCTGTCGAAGCTGCCCGGCCGAAACAGCTATACTTCGATCCCATGATGGATCCCTCCATGTTCTCCTTTTCCCTTGAGAGTCTCCCCAACTACGCACACGGCCACGATATGCCCACTGCTTCCAATTCCTACTACGATACCCACCCTTTGCTGGAGTCCGCAGATCTGCACAATCCTACCTATTTCTCTTCTATACCAGCCACACCGCCTTCGCTCTCCGCGTCTCACTCCGCAGAGCCATATATTTCCACCGGGTCTGCCTCCGGGCAGTCCATTGCGAGCGCATCTTCTTCGGCGATGGGATCGCCATACTCGGGAACGGCGCAGGCATTTCAGGAGAATTGGGTGAATACGAACCACGGATTGGGTCTACCAGCCGCAGTCATGGACGACCTTTTCTCGCAGGAATACATGGGAAGTATGTTGGACATGGATATGCCCTATCAAGAGAAATTCCCGGACCCTTTTGTCGGTACGTCTTGAGATCAATCGCAAACCGTCTGGTGTACTAACAATGCATTCAGATCCCTCATTGATTCAACCGACGCAACAAGGGCCTGGAATTACCCCGACTATCTCATACCCCGACCAACCCACCTCTTCCTACTCGAACGTGCCACCGAACTACATCTCCCACTCTCCCGCTCCTTCACCTCTCTCATATAATGATCTTACAGAGCACCACTCACCCGCAATGCAGCACAATGGGCTATCTCCCCTCATGGTCCCACACAGGTCGCATTCACGACCGCTCTCCATCTATGACCGACGGTCGTCCATTTCCTCAATTCATTCCCGACGCTCGCAACACAGCCCGGCGCTGAGCAGCATCGAACCGGACGAAGAAATTAAGGAGAAAGGGCGCTGCCCACACCCCGACTGTGGCCGCGTCTTCAAAGATCTGAAAGCCCACATGTTGACTCACCAGTCAGAGCGACCCGAGAAGTGCCCGATTCTGAACTGCGAGTACCACATCAAGGGCTTCGCGCGCAAGTACGACAAGAACCGCCACACCCTGACCCACTACAAAGGAACAATGGTATGCGGCTTCTGCCCGGGATCCGGCTCCCCCGCGGAAAAGAGCTTCAACCGCGCAGACGTTTTCAAGCGCCACCTGACCTCCGTCCACGGCGTGGAACAGACCCCGCCGAACTGCCGGAAGCGCAGCCCCGGATTAAAGAAGGGCACCAACTATAGCCCCGACGCGACAGGAAAGTGTTCGACCTGCTCAGCGACCTTCAGCAACGCACAGGACTTCTACGAGCATCTGGACGACTGCGTTCTCCGTGTCGTGCAACAAGAAGAGCCCTCCGAGGCAATCAACCAGCAGCGCCTGGCAGAGGTCGCGTCAGACGAGGAGGTGAAGAAGACCATGGAGAAGCACCAACTCCTCGACGTGCCCGGCCCGGTCGAGCAATTATTCGACGATTACGAAGACCAAGAAGACGACGATACCCAAGATCCCGCCAGCTGGCGCGGCCTGAAGACGAAACCCAGATCCTCGAAGAGCAACATTCCCGCCTCGCGTCCGATTATCGGCTCCGGAAATGCAGTCTCCAAGAATGTCTCCAAGCCCGCCCGCGCTGTCGTAACCCGCCGTCGCAATAACCGCGGCAACTACCCCCAGTCCTGGGGCTGTCCCAGCAGCACCATGAAGACGAAGAAGCGCGTGCTGTGTGTTTTTGATGGCCAGCGCCGTCTGTGGAAAGACGAGATGATGCTCAATAACGAGTTCGAGGTCCGTCTGAGACTGCTCGGTGGTGCGGGCGACGGTACCAACCGGGATGCCTACGTTACCGATCTGGACGTCGAGACTTTGAAGCGCGCTGAGGGCGTGCTGAGTGCCACAGAGGAGGAGCGTGGTCCTTGGTTGAACGGTCCTTCGCCTTACATTATGGGTCAGCCGGCGATGCTATTGCCGGAACTGTCTCATGATGACGAGCTTTCGCTCAATGAATTAATGGCTTAAACGACTTTCTTCTGTCTTTTCTCCTACTCCTTACTCTCACCTACCTTTGGGACCTTTCGTGTATTTCTTTCATGTTTCATGTTTCCGTACAGCAGTGGCGTCTTGACGAGCGATTTGTCTGATTACGGATTATGGATGATACCTTGGGACTGACACCTAATGACTTTCGTTCTTTGTTTTCTGTTTCTGTTTCTGTCCAGGCTGGTCTCGTGGCTTCATGCCTGATCCCGCTGGCGGGATTCGTACCAAGACACTATTAATTGGGGACTAGGAATGAGTGTCTGAATTGAAAACAAAAAACATTCTATCTTCAAATGTCTTGAATTCTTTAACAGCAAGTATAGGTCTGAAGTAGAAAAGATATAAGAGTGCCATAGACCCCCACCTACCGATCTTCACCCCCATGTTCTGCCATCTTCCCCGGTGTTTACCCCATCCAACCTCCACGATGCAATTGGGACTCTCAGAACATCTGTCCACTCTGGTCGCAAGACGTTTTACAGCTGCTCGAGATAGCGGCCATCTCGTCTTCTCCTCAACTCATCTCTCCATCATCAATGCCGCAGGAATATCGGTGAGTGACGCTGAGACCCGACCACGACGGTTCTAACCTGCATGCAGTACCAACTCCGCTACTGCCCGGCCCTCGCAAAGAAACCCTCCAATCTCAAGGACAATGGCCCGAAAACGCCAAAGTTCGATCCCTTCCAGAACCCATGTCCGGAGCTTCTGATCGCCCAGTTCCCGCCCGAGAACCCCGCCTACAACCTCATCATCAACAAATTCCCCGTCATCCCGAACCACTTCCTCCTCGTGACAAATGACTGGCAGGCGCAGACGGACATCCTCGACAAGGCTGATCTAGAAGCTACATACGAGGTTCTGAAAGCCTGGAACACGGACAGCGATGGATCCAACTCCAACAGCTCGAAGAGCCTCTTCGCCTTCTTCAACTCCGGCGACGACAGCGGCGCAAGCCAAGCCCACCGCCACCTCCAATTCCTCCCCGTCGAAGCAATGCGCCAGCCAGGCTCGGACTCCTGGTCCCCACTGATCGACCTCCTCACGCAACAAACCCCCCAACCAACCTCCCCCTCCCCAACACCAACACCAACACCCAAGTTCCAGCACCTCCCCGGCCTCCCCATCGCGCACTTCGCCCTCCCAATCCCGCCAAATCCCTCCGCCGAAACCCTGCACGACATATACATAACCCTCTACCGGGCCGCTGCGGCAGCGACGCGCGGACGAACACCGAGCCAGGACACCGAGCCGCTGCCCACACACGGACGAGCGTGCATAAGCTACAACCTGGCCATGACGCGCTCGACGATGATGATCTGTCCGCGCAGACAGGAGACGGCGACTGTCCCCGTTGACGCTGACAGTGTCGCCGCGCGCGAGATCGCGGACCACGGCGTGCTCTCGCTGAATGGCACGATCCTGGCTGCGACGCTGATGGTTAAGGCTGAGGGCGAGTGGGATGCTTTGCGGGAGAATCCGGAGCATTTGACGCAGGTGCTTGCTACGATTGGGTATCCGCGGACGGATTCTCGGGGTCCGTCGCTTTGAGGGCTTGCTGGGGGTGTATAGCTACGATGGGTAGACTACTTGCATGCTAGAATTGGATACCCAATGGAATTGCTTGATTTATAGCTTGATTTATAGCTTGAATTGATGCTTATTTTTCTCCTATCCATGAGAGATTGAAATAATCATGTCATGATTGCTTAATAGATATGCATCTATATGGAGAAAAGTTATGTGTAGCAGAACAAGTTAGAAAAAGGCCTATTGCTGGGAAGCAACAATGGTAGCCACAGGAATGACAGGCTGTCCGAAGGTGTTTCTTCCATCCGTTTATCAAGAAACTTGAAGACAGACCATGGCGCAACAACACAGGGAGCCAACACGGGGAAAAGCAAATAACGCTAATACCAAAGCCACCGTAATTCAGAGACATGTTTCCTTTATTCGGATGTATCCAGAAAGAGGGAAACGGACCATTAGACATGCAGTGCCGGGCCATGCGCCAGACTCATGTCGGAAAAAGCGAACGGTGAGATTCATTTTCTCAGTTCTGGCTTTATTAGTGGATGGCATGAACTGCACATGAGACTGTTTACAAGCCACGGAGCCATGATGTGAAACAAGGGCAGAAGCCGCAGAAGAAGCAAATAAGCCCTTGCCTGGAAAGGAAGGCTCTGGGAATGTCGTACGTAATAGCGGAAGCCACATTTACCTGTCAACTTGATCGTAGAAGGATTCGAGTTCAGAGAGCGGAGATTGCTACAAGTAAGGCTGATAGCCAAGCTTTCAGGCGATATAGCTTTCTCCACGGTATTTTGGTAGATCTGATTGAAAAGGTCATACCGATGTAAGTCATGAGGCATAGAATAACAGTCTGACTTATCGGGAAGCTCGGGATCTATTCACATTCTGCAGCCTAATGGCCACTGAGGCTCGAGTTATTAGGTAGCGTGCATCGTGCGAGAAGGCGTCGATTTCATTGGCCGTTAATCCTGGCCTTCGGGCGTAAGCGTGCTGGATGTGATACTGGGTTGATATTAGCGGCCATATTCCCAAGTTCACTTTAGTCAATATGTAGTTAACTACAGGTGAGTTATTCTGGTAGGAAAGCCCATTTCCAATCAGACTTCACAAAAAAACCAGTTGCCCAGACACAAAGTGAAACACTTGCCTGCCAAGTTGCATGGCACCAACAGACTGGATGACTCTAAGGAAGCTCACTACGAGCTAACCAGGGGGCTGTGACCGGGCGCAAAGCATGTGATCTGTATAAATCCGCCTTGATTGGCCAAACTTCGTTCTGATTTCCGTTGGCCTCCTTTATTGGCAGCCTGGACGCTTTTGCACGCTTTTGCTAGGCCGTTTATGGTGCTATAGCCTCACATTGCCCTTGATCCGCCCGTGTTCTCGTATAGAATTGGACCCCACAGTTGACTCTATCGACATTTAAAAAGACGCCTTGCGCTCATTGATCAGATTCTTTCTCACCTAACAAACCACAGGCGGACTATTTATCATGGAAAACAACGAAGAATCAACAGTGGCTATTACACCGGCTACGGCCGCTGAGCCAACGCCAACACCAGATACTACAGTTGAACCAACTACCACAACAAGATCATTGCCGGTAGCCGACCCAATGGCGATCATACCCGCGGAGAGTGGACCTCCCCCACAATACGATGAGTATGCATCCCGATCCAAAGAAAGCAGCCCAAGCCAACAAAACCAGACACCAGAAAGACGCAATCACAGCACCTGCACCGGCAGCGACATTACCACAAACCAACGAGAAAGCCGTCCCAACCGGCCTACAAGTCCCAGCCGCTCACAGGGTTATCCCACTAGCCCAACTTGGTGAAAAGCCCGGATGGATCTGCTGTCCTTTTTGCTTCCACGAGGTCCAGACCATAGTGAACAAGGAGAGCACTAGCGCCACATCGTGAGTTTGTCTATCCCCGCTTCACCTTGGTCTCACTTCTAACGATCCTATCTCTCACTTTAGTATGGCCGCAGTGTGCTGTTGTATCTTCGGCGGAATCTGCTGTGCATGCCTACCATTCTGCATGGAGCTGTGTCATGACTCGCATCACTTCTGTCCAAATTGCGGCGCGAAGGTTGCTATACATCCGCATGAAGATGAAGGAGAGGTACAAACGTTTGGACCGGACTCCCCTCAGGCAATTATTCAAGCACCGGGGTTCATTCAGCCTCCGCAGGCGGTTATGAAGAACTAGGGTGACGATGTATATGTTGAGGAGTGACGGATAAGGAATGGACTGCTTTGCTTGATACCTTTGTTTACTCTGAGATCCGCGTTACTTTACTATTATTAATGAAAGATAAGTCGTGACGAAGCATTTGAATTTCATCCATGCCCTGACGCATATAAGATGGGACTAGATATAAAGAAACTACTAGGTCGTTTAATACCTCTACTTACTCTTAAATTGACGTTACTTTACTCTTAATGAAAGAAATTGTGAACAAGAATCTGAATTTCATTCATACCTGACCCATGCAAGATGGACCAGCCACCTTACACAGGCCAGGGCCCGGAACCTAACACCACGACCCCCTCAGGGGATCACCCCATCGGCATTGGGCATGGTGCCAATCAGCCGCTGGAACAGGTCAGCCAGCATGGCAGCCCCGAGGGGGTCGTGGAAGTTGCGAATGACCCTCGCAAACTCAATCTTGGTCTCCCAGATGTGTGTGCTGAGAGCCTCGATTGCCTCGCAATCGAGCGGGATGGTGTTTGCCAGGACGGCACGACGGTCGATGCTGTCCTTGAGGTTGATGATGCCAACCTCGAAGGCGTGACGGTAGGGGTCCCAGGGGGCCCCCAAGGCCACACCGGAGTGCTGGCTCATGCTGTGTAGGAAGGAAGGTTAGCATGTTGTCAATTGGGGTAATATATATGATGAGACGGTCACGTGTCTCATGGGTTTGTTTGCATACCTTGCGGTGGGGAGATACCGGTGGGAGGAGTATGAAGGATGTGGGTGGGCGTGGTGTTATACTACACACGCTTGATGAGATGGAAGAAGGTTGGGATGGTTGGAGATGCAGTTGTGATGATGCAGTGTGATGGGATTGATGGAACACACGGACGTAAGAACGAAAGAAGTTTTTCACAAGATCGAGAAATAAATAGTCACGCCGTCGCCTTAAGCCAAACCGCGACATGGGTCGGCGTCGAGCAGAGGGCCCGGAACATACTACAGGCTCGGCGTTGAGTAGAACGTCGAGGAGGAAGATGACAACGAACAATGATGACATTCAGATCCAACACTATAGCTTTGAGCCCGTCGCTTTGGCGACTAGGTGCGCATTGACAGGCGTAACAGCCTTTCCAGTTTGATAGAAAGCAGTAATATTCTCCATACCCAACCTCTCAAATCCGATATGTGAGTCCACAGAAGCACCAGCATTGTGCGACATCATCTCAACATTCTTCATGCTTGCAAGCTCCGGGCTAACGCGCGGCTCATTGTAGTGCACATCCAAGCCCGCAGCAGCAAGCTTACCACTCTTCAGTGCGTCAACAAGGGCGTTCTCATCGAGCAACTTGCCACGGGCGATATTAATCAGTCGCGAGCCGTCCTTCATCTTTGCCAGCAGAGATGCATTGAGGAGTGTCTCCCCGCTAAACGGCGTTGCAACCATGACACAGTCTGAAACAGCAAGGAGACTGTCCATGGTCTTATGGTATGTTGCCTTCGAGACGGCTTCTAGCTGTGCGGGCATCTGCACGATGTCGTAATAGTGAATCTTCATGTTCAAGGCTAGGAAGGCCTTCTCGGCAGTACGCCTGCCGATCTGGCCGAAGCCAATGATTCCAAGTGTGTGTCCGTTGGGGTTGTGTGAGACCATTGCTAGATTGCGGTTTGCGTCGACAAATGCATCGACATCCAGTGTGCGTGCGGCAATGTGTGACCAAGAGAACAGGCGGAATGTGGAGATTATGAGCCAGATTGCGGCATCCGCGACGGATTCTGTGCATGCTGCTGCAGCGTTGCAGTAAACCACTCCTATACAATGGAATCATTAGCTATTTCTCCTTATATGCTGCTTTCCGATCGCTTTGTTGTATACATACCTTTCTTCGCCAAAGCTGCGGTATCAACCCAGTCAAATCCAGCCCCTGCACTGGCGTAGACCTTGCAGGAATCTGGTAGCAGTGAGATGAGCTCCTCATCCCAGTTCCCCATCTCGCCACCGGTATTCCAGAATGGGCGGTAGATGGCGAAGAAATCGCCGAATTGGCGCTCTTTCAGGGCTCGGATAAACTCCGGCCGAGACATGCTGTAGGACCGGCGGATCTCGAAGACATCTTGGAACTTGCTGTATTGGTCGTGATTCCAGCGGATGTCATCGCCGAGGTGAAGGACAATTGGTTTGGTCATTTTGGGTGGATTTTGGGTTGTATAGATCGGATCGGTGGTTGGAATAGGGTTTGGGGGTATTTGATGAGGTTAATGGACAACTAGTACATGGAAAATTGTAGAACTTTTATCAAAATCTCATTTTCTAAGCTGGCAATGTGGAATTAGTTAAATATCTCTTTTCCGATTCTCTTGTTGATGTTTGTTGCGGCTATTGCTATTCTACGCCACGGCTATTGAGCGGGTATCGATCTCCCGGCTAATGAAATCCGACACCAACCACCGAGGTAATTATTCAAGTCTAGATGAAAGGCCAAGGAGAGGTAAGATCGTTATTTTTCAATGGAGATGAATATGGAAGATTGTCCTGATTCTGAGCCCATTCTTCTTCGCTCTGCTGCGGGACCGTCCTTCTAATCGCTTTGGCTTCCATTACACTCTCCAGTATGTCCTTTGGTTCGCTTATATCTAGCTTGTCGTGGCTTTCTGTGTTAATAGTGACGGCTTGGCAAAGGAGTTGGATCTATGAGAAGGATTCTGTCAGTCTATATTTCATAGAAGAATGGAAGAACAGTTTCATAATTGCAGCAAACCATGAAAAACGAATAGAATTGGACAACAGGGGCTTTTTTGGAAGATTTTAAATCTTCCTGGTTGGTCCTTATCATAGGGACATGAGGATGCAAAGGGTATTCCACGTAAAGCAAGATGAACAGAAGACATGAGCAAGAAAGAAATGACATTGTCGACATGAGGCGTCTTGAAGGGAGATAAAACAGCAGGACATACCGGGTAGTATCATCCTTGACCTTTATTCGCAGGATCCAGGGGATTCATCGCTTAATCCAGGCAGAGACTGTCTCGTTGAGCATTGTGTGCCACACAATTGTAGACATACATCTCATCTCTGGGTAAACAGAAGCCTTGCGTGAGTCTGCAGTTTGGTTATTCCGTTTCCACTAGGGGCTTCACTGTTGTGGTCCAGCTTGTCTGTCAAACAGTTGAGGCAGACCATCCCTTGAGAGTAGATTAGGGAAGGGGCTAGGACAGCAAGGTAAGGCGAATAAGAATAGGACGAAATCCGTTCATCACTGCAGTGCGCCATAGCTTGTAAAGAGGTGGTAGAAGGAGGATAGGAGAAAGTGAAATCGAGTAGGCGAATTTTCTCAATAGTGGCTAGAGACTTGAGATTCTGCCTGAATGCTTCGATAAACTTATCATAAGCTTCGAGATGTTCGGTCGCACATCTCGACCTTCTGCCATTCTCGTGTTCGTATCGGGGCATCTGTCCATGGATTGAGAACTTTATGATTGGAGACATCGACAAAGTCATAAAGTTGCTCATGGGAATAATCGTTGTGGAAGAAGACCTTCCAAATTTCTGTGGGGAGATCGATCATGTCCTGATCCCTGATGACAGTAACATCTGATATGATCCCCATTCGCCCAGATGTGCTCAGCCGCCTTCCTCCATGATAGGTGGCTGGGATTTTGCTGGTTCGATCGAAACAAGCTACGGCACACTACAGTGATGAGAGGATCATCGACTGCAAGTGCCGTGGATGAGGATATTTTGACTAGTAGTGATATATAAATAAGAGCCTTAAGTAGTAATTTGGCATTTAATGCTTACAATTATATATTAACTCTTATTCTTATAAGGCAAATATAAGTTATTATATAGGGTATCTGATACTCTTTGACATTCATCTCACTTGTCTATCACTCAGAGTATCATCAATTTGCTCACTTTGACTCTTTTCCTATCATTTTCTATCATTTTCATGTTCTACTTTGGCACTCTCACCTTTTAACTATACTCATTTTCTATTTGACCTTACCAACTATCTCCTCTTCCGGTGCGATGGCTTTATAAAAACTACTCTTTATTTATACAACATATCCCTTGGATTTCTGCATCTTCCTACATTCCACGAATCCTGCTAAAGGCCGATAATTAAGACTCTTTTGACTGACTTCACTGCTCTGATGCTTCCAACCCTCCAACCCATCCAGCCTCAACTATGCAGTGACATTTAACTGAGATGGCGGAATCAACCTCACATACCACCACCACCTCCTCCTCCTACACCGACACCGAGTCCTCAATCTCGACCGGAAATTATGATCCCTCCGAATCCATCCTACTCTCATTTTACTGGTGGTCATGCTCGACCGCAAAGATATTCTGGACAAAAACCTCAAATAAAGACTCCAAGCTACTGCTCGGATTCCAGCTATGTCGTATCAAGGTCACAAGAGACGTTCTCCTCGAGACATTCCTGCTTCATCTTGGACTGACAGCTGGATTTGAAAGATTCCATGATTCAAAGATAACCGCCAAAACAATCAGCGCTAGAAAGGCGACAAGGTCCAATCTTGCATTGCTTCTCACTTTTGACCTCATGGTGATGGCTGTACATGACGCTTGATACTTATTTACAACCTAAAATCATGCCACACCCCCTCCTCAAACCGAGGTTGAGTGAGCGGATTCTGTGCAAGTAGATCCCAATGAAAATATGGATTTATCGCATCGGATATCAGCTAGTACATTGCAATGTACTTTTAATTACATATAGCAGTGACTTGGTCAACGAAGAAACAAACGATTACAGCCAAGTCAACAAAAATCGCAGAATAGTGTGCGCTTGACCAACCATCAAGAGACGCAATGTGGCTAAGCAAAGTTGCAGGTTCACTTGGTCTGCCGAGGCCAGATCCCACGGTCATATTCACGGATAACATCAACTCACAGCTACTGCTTACGAAGAAGGGTGGCAAGTCGGCCACAAGGTAGTTGGTGCTAAGATACCTCTTTGTTAAGAATGCAGTTGCCCAAGGGCACGTCAACATCCTCAGAGCCGATACCAAGCAGAATATCGCTGATGGATTCACCAAAGTGCTCGCGAAGTAGCAATTCCAAAACTTCGTGAGATTGCTAGGCATGGCTTGAGTAACCAAGGAAAGTTCGAGTCTTTTCAACCATTGCAGTACGGCGCGTCATCATCAACAATTCTACATCAATCAAGGGTGAATGTGAGATCTGTAAGGGGGATGTTGCGTATCCAGTAAGGCGGACACCAACTAGACTCGTCTAGTCTTCGTCATTAATAAAACATTGTACTCCAATATACAGAAAGGCAATCAAGCGGGAAATAATACAGAAGGAACGCTACAGCACAGAGACTCAGACCAGCTGAATACAAATATAACAAACAGTACACGCGCGCTCGCCAAGATACATTACATATCAGAAGAAAAAGAAATAAGATAAGAATAAATGGATTAAAGAATAGAAGAACAAAAGAACCCGCGTTTAACCTTAAACCAACATCGGGTCAAATGGTGATGTCGTGAATCTCGCACCACTTCTTCTTGCATGTGGCATTGCCAAAATGGTAGGATCCCCCATTCGCCCATATGTGATCGGAAACCTTCTTCCAAGATACCTTTGGCGGCTCGTTCACGTTCAACCCGGCATTGGGCAGCGAGTTATAAGTGTCGTGCCTCTCTGCGTAAATTGTGACAGCTTGGCAAAGGAGTTGGAGCTATGAGAATGGATCATGTCAGTCTATATTATCATAGAAGAATGGAAGAACAGTTCATAACTCACGTCCCGATCATGCCATGTGGGCTTTCGCACCCGCTGGTCTTTCGACTTAGTGAGAGTGCGGTATCGGCCTCGTAGCGTGGACTCCGCCTCCTTGAACCCGCCCAATCGCTTGATCTCCTTGTATGACAGCCCCCGGTGCTTGCAGTCTATGAGAAATGCGTTTCTCTCATAAATGTCCTGCACCGTAGCTTCGGTCCCGCCTTGTTCTTCTTCGCTCTGCTGGCGGGACCGTCCTTCGGTGGTTGAGACGGAGAAGGATGGACTGAAGCTGCTTGCTGGGTTCTGGTCCGGGGATTCGTATTCTGTGTCGGAGACAGGTGGCTGTGTTGGAGCGTTTCGATGCAGTCCAGGTTGATACTCGGGACCACCGGTGATTTGGTAGGGTCCAGAATCTTGCAAATGGGACATGTAGCCCATGGGACTATTCGGGCCCAAAGACAGAGGCGCAGGCCCAAAAGGCTCCATGGGCAGTCCATTCCTTGGCTCGGGTTCATTGTATTCGGCTGGGTAGTTGTATGCATTGGTGGCCGGCCAAGGTAAATTATAACCATCCTGTGTATGCCAGCTGTCTTCTGGTGGGCTAGTGAGGTCAGGCGTGGGATACCAAGCCTCATTTGTGTTGATTGGTTGAGAGATAAGCCATTGGATACTTCCACCATAGTTCAGCGGCTTTGTGTTCTGAGGAGTGATGGATGAGTGGGGATCGATCTGTCTTCCCGTGGGGAAGTTGGCGAGAGTCGGGTTCTGGAAGTTGAATTGGGTGGTGGAAAAAGGCTGCTCGTCCATTTTGACATCTGGGATTTCAAAGGATGAAAGAGAAGGTGTTTCCCCAGTGCCTAGAAGGAAGGAATTGCTAGCCATCGTGAACATTTTGCCCTGTGGTGCTGGGTGAGCAAGCCCAGTGTGTGTTTCAACAGTGCGCGTGGTGAATGGCTCGTCAAAGTGCTCAAGTGATTCAAGATCGGATTCACAATAAGTGCTTCCGTTGCTTGAGTTCGCACTGTTGAGGTCTAGCCGAGTCGTGAAAGGAGACGCGCCCTGCGAATACACAGCTGTGCGAGGATCCTCCACATGGTGAGGCATGTAGCGCCTGTTCTCCGCAAGAGGCATGGAGTTACCTGGCAAGCGATTGTGATTCATCATGGTTCTAGCAAGCTTTCGAGGACGATGTTGTATTGTTGGGGGAGGGTGATGTAGCAAATGAAAGTTCAGAGAGGAAGCTGATGTGGAGGGGTAGAAGATCGAATACCAGTCGGTAGGGGAGGAGGAAAGCTGTTTATCATAATCGCCAAATGCCGAAGAGCAAGTATACTCCTTCGGGTACGCCATCCATGGCTCTGGCACCCCAGGAATAGCCAGCACGTCTGCCATGTCGACCATAGATGGAGAAAATTGAAAATAAAAAGATTAAAAGGATTCAGAAGAGTATTGCCCAGTTTTAGACGGCTATTGTCTTCCACGCTTCACCGCAATTGCTGGCGAATGTTGTACACGGGTTGTCACTGGGTGTGGACGACCGCTATCCCGGAGATTTCCTCTTTGTCGGCCAGTACACACCGGATAATGTGGAGAAATCGAGGAGACCTGCAGGGTTGACCGTTATGGAGGTTAGTGCTTTGTTTATATGGAGAGGTTTCACCAGCACGGTAAGAACTGATTGGGCATCACTTACCGTATGCATATGATAGCACGCCGTAGACTACTAGAAGGCGATGTCACGAGTGAAGAGTAGGGCAAAATCTCTTCTTGTGACCTTGATGAGCAGACAAAAGCCTCTAGTGGCTCTCAAGAGTAGCTATACTTCGAAACGGCACGGCTGTTCGACTTGAGAGATCAATATGGGTAAGGATCAGGCTGTAAGTCGAGCCGTTGGATGCAATGCAGTCTCAGATATATCGGTAATAACCTTAAGAGAAAGGAGGTGAAGCTTCAGATTGCTGTAGGGTTATATCGCAGGTAGATTGCCAACACGGAGAGATTGTTTGAGAGACAGTATAGAAGTTGGAAGTCGAGGATAAGGGATGGAATTGATCAAGTTTATATCAATTTACGAGGAGATACAGCGAGACTAGGGAGCCATATTTTCCGGGTCTTTTAATAGACAGCATGAATGGATCTAACCAGTGTACATGAACCATGTCTATCATCCCAGCTCATTTCGACTTCTCGGCCCGTTTAATCTCAATTGAGGCCCGTGCAGTTACTAGATGAGCAAGAGGACTGTCGGCCTGTTCTAGGCATGTAGGAGACGGGGAGAAACAAAGAGAAGTATAGACATGGGTTGGTCTCAAGACTTCTGAACCCTAGCCAGGTCGGAAATCTCAGGTCTGTAAATCAGCTGGACCCCGGTCGTAACTATGATCCACTTGCCGAACGTTTCAGATCTTTCCTCTATTGTCTAGCGTCATGTCTTGATTTAGCCCTCGATACTGTCGGAGGTGAATGTATGTCTAGAAAATATGTGAAACGGGAGCGAATAGTGGACGGGTTGTATTCTCGACGGCTTCCTGAAGAAGATCTTCGTTCCCGGCCGTTAGGCCCAAGTTAATATATCTCCGTTCGATATTTTTTTTTTGCCCTCGATGTCTACATTTCATCCTATCCTGAGGGTTGGGTGAATTGGCCCCGGAACTGCATCCCCGTTGGCAACGGTCCTAGCATTGCTGATCTCCACCATGTACAACCTAATAGAGCTACGCCCGTCTGTGGGTCTACCTGATTGACAAACCGTCTAAAGCTCCATGATTTGGCGGTGGCTCGGGAATGTTCCATCCTGACCGGGTAGCCACAGAGAGCTTCTGGGGAAGCCTAAGTGGCATCCGGGCCAATCAGATCAAGGGGCCCAGTCCAACCTGCTTGAGAAAAAGCAATGTAAACACCATAGCGGTAGAAGCAATTTCCTGGTTGGAGCTGGTTGGACAGGAACTTGCCGACTGACGTGAGCTATCTAGTCTTTGAGGCTCTATCGCCCAATACTAATGCCAAGATGAGTTCATCGGGCCTTACGAAATGCAGTGTTAAAGATCGACAAGATCCTAGCCAGGATATTTTCTGTTGGGATTTGGAATATAGTAAAGCTATAATTAGGTACATTGAACGTTCAAAGCAAAATATGTCATTAGCTTCCACAACTGCCGAGAGCATACAACTAACACGGTGAACTCAACAGAAAAACTCCCGAGCCCCTTTTCCCCGGATCTCCACCGTCTAAAGACGGACCCATTCAAAAGAAGCTTCGTTAACGACCGCTGGGGTGGCCTAGGTGGCGTTGAAACCGAAGGGATCAAAAACGAGCCTGCAGCAGCACGAACGCGCAAAGATTCCGTCCGGTCCCCTGGCTAGGGGGAGGACCTCAGCTCCTGATTCTGTGGGAAAGCCCCGAGGAAATTTCCTTTCTTTGAGGCAATGTTTCTGTTAGTGTTACAGCTTCGCAGAGTTACCGCGGAGGTGGTTTGGGATTTATCTCGTTTCCAGGTTCCAGGTGCTCGATCGAACGCTATGCTTCGATTCCCGCATATGCGGATCATATTTACGGATCTTATTATTATTCCATAAATACCATTACCCGATGATTTATCCTATGAGACAGCATCAAGACCCGTAAAATCCGAAACAAATCTGGGGAAGGGGATGGAAAAGACAGGACGGTGAGTTGTGTTGACACGAACAGTGGAGGGATGATCGGCGGAGAACCAAATCAAGTCGGAAAGAACCTATCAAAAAAGCAAAAAGAGGTTGGTGTTGTCTAATTTAAAAGGGATCTCTCGGCAGCCTGTTGGTTGCCCGTTCGTTGTCTTTTGGGTATTGATTGGCTGA